TATGAAGGGCAAGATTGTGAAACAAAAAAGTAAAATGAAATAAAATAATAACCTAGCAGATAATTAAAAAGCACACTAATGTCCGATCCAAAATAACAATTTGCAAGACCTGTGACATTCATGTTTCAGTGTAAATTCTCATGTATAGGATTATAGGCCTGCCAAGACAGCACCTTTGCATACAAGCATATCTTGGGGCATATTTATAAAGCAATGAATCTGACATTTAGCAAACATTATCTGCAGAAGAATCTTCCAGGCTCATGTGTTTTCAATGACTGTGATTAATTCTGCACCAGAGAATGTTGTTTATAAATGGTGTAAGTTTACTAATGATTTACATAAACTGTTTTAACCTGTGTACATTGAAAGAGGGAAAAAAGCTTCTGCAAAGGGAAAAAAACTTCTGCATTGAAAGGCAAACCTTGACTTTACCACTCCTCTGTATTATCACAAAATCACACTTATGTGATATCTTTGTAGTCAGAAAATTGTAACAGATGTATTTTGTGGAATATCTGGGCTTCATTAATTATATAAAAGTAGTGTTGGGAAAAATTACTCAATCCAATTTTTTAGAATTAAAGTCTAAAAATCTAAATGTATTTAAATATGTTATTAACTTGAAAGCTTGAAGTGCATAATTTGCCTTACAAAACTACAAAGGTAAATAAACGGGTGCAAAACCAACACATCTCCAAAACAGATAAAACTTTGGTCCTATAGTGGGAAGACGCTGTTGTTTTTCCTCATAGTACTTTACAAGAAACCAAGCTGCTTTAATTCTTAGGCCATTGGGTTATATGCAACTGTCTTCAGGTGAATGAGCACTAGCAAAGCTGCAAGGACAGCCCTGTGTAACCTCTCCCACAGCCACAGTTTTTTTGCTAGTAGACATTTCGGTAAAAAATCGGTTTGGATATTTTGTTAATTTCGGATTCGGACAAAATCCACATTTTTGTTAGTTTCAGATGAGTTTATGAATATTCTTTGCGAGTAAAACAGAAAACCATACACGGATATTAATACTAAAGCTGAATCTCCTAAACCCGCATGGCGTTCGGGATCCGAAGATCTGGATGGGTTTGGCTCCCCTTGAAATCTTCCCTGATCTGCTGCAAGCAACTGCCAGTTGGTGGTGATTGCTGTGCCCTACTGGACCCCACAGTGGTGAAGTGGCATGCAGGCTGTGACACATTCTGTTGCAACCAGTGGTGTGAGTAGTTTGTTTTTTTAAATTGCTGCCATTGTTTCCTAGCCATGGGACCCAGACCAGACCCCCTCATGAGGCGCTGTTTTCTTCACAGTAAGATCAGTTAGGGTCTGGAACTCACTGCCACAGGCGGTGATTTCAGCAAATAATGTGGAATTGTTCAAGAAACTTTTGGACGATTTCTTAAGGGACCGTAATATACAGGGGTACAGGTACTCCTAGAATGAGATCCTAATAGGTTGGACTTGATGGACTAATGTCTTTATTCAACCTCAAATACTATGTAACTATGTAACTATGTAACTATGTACTGCACATTTTCATGCCATGTTTATCTGCATGGCGCCCTGTCCAGCTGTCTTCTTCCTCTGCTCCCTGCCTGCTACAGCAAAATTCAACAGGACGAACCTCGGTGTTCCTTAGTCACAGATGGCTTAAAAGAGAACCATGGGGCAACCTTTTTTGGTCATAGTTCTCTTCAGGGTCACAGGAGGACATATACTATTGTCCTCCCTTGACCCAAAACTCAATATATAGTGGCTATTGCCCGATATATGCTGAGAGCGCAGCGCCGCAGCTGGGACGGATCATGCCAATACTGTTGAGATCCACCTCGCTGACTGACAGTCAGTGCTGGAGAAACAGAGAGGGGAGTGATGACTCACCATCACCGCTCTCTGCAGGGAGAGGATCGGGAAGTAAGCTATCAGCGGTATGTGTTCGATGACTTCCTGATCAATAGAGCCGACCTGTGACAGCTTCAGTGTCACAGGTCGGTTTGAATTATGGGGATGAGTGTTTTCCACTCACCCCCATAATTCTACTTTAACCCTTCATGTTCTGCAACAGCAGTCATGGGGGCTATACCTTAACACATGGTGGATCATAAGCACAAGAGGAGTGGGTTAGCGGATCATACGACCTACACTTTAACAGTTTAGGCGTTGTAATATTGTTTAGATACCCCAGACCACTGTCCCCACTCTGATTAACTTCTCTCCCCTGGGACCTCCTTAGCTCCCTCTGAGGTGCCCCCTTCCTCCTGTGAATTTGAGTGAACTTTCAGCCCTTTTGGAGACCTCATGGCCTACAAAATGAGCCCCCTCATCATTCTCCTCCAACAGTCCAGTTCTGAGTCTCCTCTAGTCATTTCTGGGGTGAGGGGTGGGAATTGTTGTTCCTCAGAATGCCAATCAGCTGATATTTCTCCCAAATTTTAAGGATACTATAGCTATATATATCAACGCAGTGCACACTTGCCTTGAACTAGGGAAGCCTGTGCCAGCCTGGCCCAATGTCGCCAGCCTTGCTCACTAAAAATTCGTTGGTCTGCAATGACCTTTCCATTTGCTTAACTCCTACAGCCTGTGTTGTACAGTAACTGAAGGGCTTTTTCCCAAAAATGAGGACTTCCTCAAAGAAAGAGGTAAATCACTTTATTATGTCAAAGAAGGAGATCAGGTACACAGTCAACGCGTTTCTGGGTACTGTATGACCACTTCTTCAGAAAAGTATGACTGGGCTAGATATAAAAAAAATTGTAATATATACTGTATATATATATAACTCGTATAATGTACAGTGGTATGAAGTTGTTGGCAATCAGCATAAAATATGGTGATCATAATAAATAACAGTAAAAAACAGTAACAAAAGTATCATAATACAAGTCACAAATCCAAGATTAATTTCAGAGGATAAAAAATAAAATTATATAGAAATGGGTGAGCATATGTTTTTCTAAAACATCCATCTGGTAGGTATAGTAAAAAAATGTACAGTTAATCTAAATATATAGTTTGCTGGTTTTTTTAGATTATGGTATTGGGTATGCTTTCATTTTGTGTGATGATTAGTAGTGCATTGGATGCTGAATCTGGTATCACTTTTTTAAAAAGATTTAATGGCATAGTATATTTTTATGGTAAGTTACCTTACAAATTGATTTAGGTCTACAAACAGGTCTA